ACATGGCAGGAGGTGTTGGTCAAGCACTGCAAACTGCTCATCATGGCAAAAGATAGCCATAATTCTAAAAATCAGAAGGCTGAGGCAGGAGGATCACAGAGACTTTAAGGCCAGCCTGGCCTATGCAGTGAGTTCAAGAAAAGGCTGACTACATGGTGAGGCCATCTCAAAAATAAACAAACAGAAAACAACAAAAAATCCCAAAGTACTGTATATAATCTTGCAGCTATAAGTCTAATATACAGCATAGTCAAATGATACTGATAAACCAACTTCACTGAATTATTTCATAAAATGTATGTACATAAAAGTATCATATTTCAGGCCAGCCAAATAGCTCAGCAAATTAAAGTGCTTACAAGCAGGAGCATGAGCCAGGGATTTGATCTCTGGGCCTGCTGTGCTGGCCCTGCCCCCGGAGTGCACTGAGACAGCAATTGAGACTTGACATCGTGGCGTACATCTATAATCCCAGCTCTTTTGAGGCTATAAACAGGTGGATCACTACAGAGTCTGATCTAGTAGTGAGACTCTGAATACCCTGTAAACCCTTACCTGAAATACAAAAAAAAAAAGTATCACATTTCATACCTTAAAATCATAGGGTTTTATTTATTAATTACACATAAAACTGGGGAAGAAGGAAGGAAAGAAAACATAATCGCAGAAAGTCAGGTAATTACCAATTCCATGGATACACTATGAATTTAGCACTACCCATAACTTGAGCAAGATTTTCTCTGGCTACAACTCCCACTGAAGCCTTTACTTCCTTACTGATACACTTCTGTTCTTTATAGTAATAAAATTATCTACCTCAAAAGACTTTTGTAAGAATTAAAAATGTGCATTGCTGGTTTAGCACAATGCCTGAATCATGAGAAGTGCTCAGTAAATAGTAGCCACATTTTCATATAGATATTCTACTATGGACAACCTATCTTTCAAAGCATAAACTCTCCTTGACCTCACTGTAAACCCCTGGCAGTAATGAAATATGACTTTTGAGTAACACTACTATACTTCTCCCAGGCTTTAAAATGAAAGTAAGTCCTGTTGTTATCTTCCCTGATTAAGGAGACAGGTGGAGAGATAATTACAGTCCCTGCTCCTGAAGACTTAATTCCAAACCAGTGCTTCACCATCACATTTGCTCAACAAGCTCTTGTATTCCAAATGTGTAATAACTATTTTCAGTCATCTACCAATCGTCATGACTGTTCTCTCTTGTTAGTAAACTCTGGGACTTCAAAATACAGAAATGTACTTTGGATACCTTGACTTCACAGATACAGGAGTGTGTGTGTGTGTGTGTGTGTGTGTGTGTGTCTGTCTGTCTGTCTGTCTGTCTGCCTCTCCTCCCACTCCTCTCTTGCTCTCCCTCTCTCCCTCCCTATACTGAGTTACTAGGCAAGAGTTCTATGACCAACCTACATCACCAGACCAATCTTAGCAATTTTTAATAGAACTACCTTACACTTTATCCAGTAATTACCAGAAATTATTTCACCTTCAAGATTCTAAATGCTTATAAATTTCCCTGATTCAAACTGAATGTCCTTTCATCTTTTCCAATCTCTTGAAACTTCTTCTTCTTCTTCTTCACTATGCCTGTCAGTCTCCTAATACCCTAGGCCATCAGTTCTATTGTCTTTGTTTCCTTATCCAGTGTGAACAACTATTTGGATAAATTTCCTGTATCTTCTTATCGTTCTCACCTTACTAACACTCAGCACATGAGAATTTCCACTGACTCCTTTACCTCTTTCAGGCTATAAGCACTGCTGGAAAGTGACAACAGTAAATAAAATATCAGCTGAACATTCATTTTTCACCATTTATTTTGTCTAATGATGCCTTACTGAAGTACCTACAATGTCTTTCTCTGACCTTATATTCTTAAACTTCCAAAGCCAAAATTTCCTTCTTTGCCTCACTAAGCAGATGACATTATGCTGAGAAGACACAAGCATCCAATGTGAGATCCCTTGGTATCCCTGGTCTGTTCTTCAAAATCTCTGTATTGGTTCCATCTTCTACCCAGCAACACTGCCCTCTAAACTAAAGCATGTTTCCTTTTTACCAAAGCTAATAATCCTTCCACTTGTCCCCTTGGTTTTATCACCCCTTTATGATTTATAGTTAAGTGTCCAGGTTTTTCTGGTTAAGAAAAGGCTCATACCATGTAACTTTGGATCTAGCTCTGCCACTTGCTACTGTGTCTCTTTGGGCAAGTAACTCCATGTTTCTTGTGTATTGTAGGTACTTCAGTAAGGTATCATTAGACACTGAATAAAATAACTAGTGAAAAATGAGTGCCCAGCTGATGTTATATTTACCATTGTCACTTTCCAGTAGCCTGAAAGAGGAAAAAGAGTTCGTGGAGGGGCTCATATGCTGAGTGTTGTTAAGGTAAGAATGATAAGAAGCAATGCTAGTAAAGGACCTACTTAGAGTACTACTGTGAAAAATAAATGAAGAAATTCATCTAAAAAGCACTTAGTGGGGCTGGGATTTAGCTCAGTGGTATAATGCTTATTTAGCAAGCTGGAAATCCTGAATTCAGGTCTTGACACCAAAAATAAATAAATAAGCCTCACCTAAAAAAAAAATTCAACCAAAAAAATACAATAAAATCCAAAAAGACCAAAAATCACTTAGTGAAATATTTAATTCACAGTAAATGCTCAATAACACATAATAGCTGTCATTACCATTATCTTAACTGTACATTTTTCCTTGTCTTTAAACTTGCTCAAGTCTTTTTTTAAATTAAAAGACACCTTTTTTTACAATTCGCTACTCCACCCCAAGACTTTTTCCCCTCCTTTCACCACTAAACTTCTCTAAAGAAAAATATATCTCCCTTCCAAAGGAAGCAAGAAATAGTGGAAACACTTTCCATTCAAATACATCTGTGATTGAATTCGGCTCTCCCACTAGTAGCATGACCACGGACAAGAATTTCTCCTAAACCTGTAAATACCCTTACATTAAGGCCATATAGAGGGCTAAACTGAAAATAATATATGTAAAACACATAGCCAAGGTAGGTGCTAAATGAATGCTAATTCTCTATCTCTTCTTCTTTCTCCAGTATCTTACAATCGGAATCATTATTCTGCTTAGGGTTCTTTACATGACTTCAGATTTTATTAGCATTGTGACATTGGCCAATTTGACTTCTCTAAACTTCAGTTTTCATCTGTAAAATAATAACAACTGCCATGTACAACTGTCTTCATAAAAATGAACTAATATCTATAAAGTGTTTCAATATAGTGGCTGGCTAAAATACACACTTAATGGTCAAATCAAAAGCCTTCACACCAAAAAAATAAATAAATAAATAAATAAATAAAAGGCTGGGGAGGAGATGTAGTTCACTGGGTTCCCAGTACTTAAAAAAAAAAAAAGAATTCAACTCTCTCTAGTAGGTTTCACTTAAAACACACTATTCTAATTTGCATATAATCACTGACCATTTCTTCTGTCTGCATCTAATTAGCAAGCTTCTCTTCAAAATGAGATGAGCTCTTTCTCTTTTGAATTCCTCTTGATGTAAAGCACTTGCCTTCTTCTGAACCAGTCTATCTTATTATTTGCTATACAAATTTTAAACTCTTAGCCTCATTTTTGAGCAGTTTTTTATTCATGTAGAAGGTCTGAGTTCCCAGCCTAAGTCAGACCTGTGCTTGTTATTTTAAGGATACAAAGATCGAACTGTTATAATTACTGTCCTAAGGATGGTAACTATTGTCCTTTTTGGATGGTAAAAATGCAGTAAATAGTATCTGTAGTGTAAGAAATCCTATCCTAAGAGTATGCCCAGAGTTCTCTGAGCCAGGAGAGTTACAGTATTTAAATTAATCCAGTGAGATAAGCAGCAGTCTCTTGTATAACTGTTTTGTGTTTGACCAATGGAGAGGCTCTACAAAAATATCTGTTAAATGAATAAACTACGAGTAGAAAGTAACAAAGATGCGAAAGGCACTTCAGGCACAAAAGAAAGATATGAGAAAAAAGACAAGTACTGGTGAAAGGAAGTTGTTTAGTACTGAACAACGTTCCTGAATGATAGGAAGTGAAGGCAAGCTGGGGTAAAACTGTTCATCTGATCCCTGGAGATAGATAATGCAGTACAGATAAATGCTTTTACCTAAAGGACAGGCAAAATCAGTTTTACATTTTGGTAAAAGTATCTGGATGGCACACGAGAATATGGATTCCATAATAGGTAATCGAGCGGGTGACTCCAGTTAGGAGAGTGTTGTACTAGTTTAGATAAAGTTTGAACGCCAGAACTACACAAATGAAGTGAAAAGCGAGAATGAAGGAGGACAGTAAACCTACTTGTATCTCCTTCAAGTCTAGCAGAACATTTTACACTACAAATGTGTTACGTAAAAAGAGACGCTTGTTACTGAAATCTACTTGGGGAACTGCCAACTTAGGGAATTTGGCCGAGTCATTTCCGGTACATGGATTTCTAACAGCAAATTTCTCCCTATAAAATTCAAAAGGTAACAATGCGCGTAGCAACATTTATGTATAAACCAGCAGAGATTCTGGACGTCTCTATCCTGCTCCATTTCGCCCCACACATTTGAACAAAATCCTTCCACAGGGTCAAGAAGCTCCGCCCTGTACACCGAGACCTAAGCCCAGGATCCTTTTGCCTTTGTTGCTGCGGCTTATTGCCTGGACGGCCATTTTCACCAAAGAATTTCCCCGATTAGTATCCGGTCGCTGTATAAACAGCCACAGGGGGCTAAAGGCAGAGCAGCGTTTCAGGCTGGGTTAACCATAAACAGGAGAGGCAGGTATTTGAGGCTTCAAAGGTTAATGATTTCAATTGTCTTACAACCGCGCGTTCACCCTCCGCTTGCTACTGTGTTCTTTTCAAAAGACAGGAGGATCCCTTCTACAGTTACGGGAAAGGTTAATAGCACCAAAACAACAACAAAATCCTGAAGACACTTAAGTTTTTTTTCACTTACTCTAAAGGGCGCCATCTCTTTGACCCTCTCCGACCAAGTTTTCTTATGGAGAGCGCAAAGGGACAAAACAGTGCTTTACTTCTCTCGCGGCAGCGCCACCCCCTTACGCTCCCGGCTCTGGCCCTTTCTCCGCCCTCCTCTGGTCTCTTTGGCGTCTGCTGCCCTCAGCTAGTCATTTGTGTTCCGCGAAAATGGTACAGCCTTTTGATTTAGCTTGCCTTTCACAATATTCTCTATAGTTTAAAGTTGTTTCCTTGGGTTCAACTTTTAATTATTTTTTATTTCAGACACATGTGATTTGTCTACATAAGACATTAAAACCCGAGTCCAAATCTCTTTAAAAATAACTACACAGTCCCAAGAACATGTTACTTCTCCCAAACATGGGCAAATTCATTCATTCATTCAAAAGCCATCACTTAGCAACAACTATGCCAGGCAGTTGTTCAGCATACAGAACAAAACATACTGCTTTTCTCCTAGAGTTTATGGCTCCAGGAGAAAAACAGGCAAATATTACAAAGGGCCAAATACTTTAAAAGAAAATAAAAGCGTGGCGAAGGAATGTGTTTACATAGATTAGGTAAAGACTCTGATAAGGTGATTTTAAGGACTTTAGGGAAGAGTGTGCCGTGTGAAAAAATAGAAGGTTGATTTCAATTCCCTTTAGTCAATGTCTGGATTGATTTAAATTCACTGTTGCAGTTGATCTATCTCTGTTTCCTATTATCTGTCTTTAATTTGCTCTTTATACTTTGTATTTCTTGAGGGAGACGGAGGGGAGGAGATGTTTAAGAAGGAATTAATATGAGTACATGATCCAACTCCCCACGATGAATATAAAAATTATTTACTGCAAACTTGTAATGAATAATAAAACTAATAGGACACTAATAAAAATAAAAGGAAAAGGAAAAATTCAGAGGTAGTGAAAAAATGCACTACATAGGGGCTATTTGTATTACTTTAAGAAATTTGAGTTTTCTGAATAAGATGGAAAGACATTGGAGGATTTTGAGCAACAATGTTACTTCATTTAAATTACATTTTAAAAGTATAACTTTGGTACTGTCTAAAAATATATTAAAGGGGCGGGGGAGATGGCTCATTTGAATAAGTGCCTCCCTGGCAAGCACAAGGGCCTGAGTTCAATCCCTGGTTCC